GCAGCTCCTTTTTCAGAAAATGATGGTCTTGTTTAATTACAAATTTTAAAAAATTGAAAGGAATCTCTAGAACTCTTCACGCTCCCTCACGTGATTGCCAGGAAGTTCTCTGTCAATCAGGACAGTCTGAAAACAAGTCAGCAGGGCAGAATCCAGGTGACTTTTGCCAGTGCATGTCTTAGACTTCAGGTCTTTTCTGACATTTACGTGTTACGTTTCTTTTCTTTCAGCAAAAGATGATGCAACTGTGTCAGGAAAACGAATGCAGTCGCTCTCCCTGAATAAATAAACACAGTGCATGTGGGAGGAGGAAATGCCAGGGAACTGTGCCCAGGGCCTGCCGGGACCTCTGCCATATTGCATCCCACACTGGTGCCACCTGGAGTGTACTGTGGCATCCCCCTCCACCTCGTGGAGCCACAGACGGCGTGGATCCTCTTCATCTCGGCACAGAATTCCATTTTGGGGCAGGGGGGAAGGGCAAGGGAGGGGGGCAGCTGCTATCTTTGGGGCAGAAATAATGCAGAAAAGCATTTCTGTGTGTAACAGTTTGAAAAGTCTGGATGTTTTCACTGTTCTTAGGATTCAGAACACATAGCAGGGGGGAGGGGATGTTGGGATGGGGGAGGGTAGGAAAAGCTTAGGCTTGTAGATTACATGGGGTATGTTGGTTGGGGTGGGGTGGGGGTGACCCATAGAAAGATCTTAATGGAAATCCCGGGTCTTTATTGACAGGGCACTCGTCTGCGCGTTTTCTTATGAAATTTTTGCAGTCTGAGTATAGTAATAAATGTCTGGGAGCCCATTCTTATGTGTGTTCTTGGAGGGGTGGCCCTTGTTCGTTCCATCCCTCTCTTCCCTCTCCTCATTTTTTTCCTCCCCTCCAACTAGGTCTAGTGTCAATTTTTAACCATATCTTCTGTTTAAAGCAAAACTTTCATTTATTGGTAATGGCCCAGGCAAAACATTGCTCAAGAAATTAAACTTGTATATTTGGCTGATTAAAATATAAATTATCATATATTTTGTCTTTCCTTGATTATTTCTGCTTTATATCCGTGTCCAGACCTGGAAGTGGCATGACTTCTCCAAAAGTGATGCCTGATAGGGTCTTTTCCTGCCATACCAACCAGGCTAGACTTAAGTTTCAGGACCTTAGCGCTGGCCACTCCCATTTCAGGAAGGTCTGAGTCCTGGGCATTGAGTCACTGTGAAACTAGATTTTAATGAATATTTTTTCTTATCTTTGGATAGCAAGAAGGGTTTCTTTTTGCAGGATCCTTAATTTCCTTTTGATTGCTTTCAGAAGCAGTTTTGACTTGTTGGAGGGGTTGTGGAGCTGAAAGAAGCACTATTTGAATCTCTATTCCTCAGTCTCCCACATACTGCCTGTGTGACTTTGGGCAGGGTCCTTTATCCTTTAGGCCTTGGTTCTCTCATGTGAAAAAGAAGAATATTCCCAAGAATAAGGATCTTTCTCTATGTTCCACCCCAGTTAGGCCACATTTGGATGACTGGGTTCAGTTCTAGTTAGATTTTGGAAAGACATGGACGAGCAAATTGGAAAGCATCCACAAACGGGCCATCAGCAGTGTTTGGTTGTGCCATGTGAGGAAGAGAAGACTAGGTACTCTTGAAGCCTGCTGGCATGTGAAAGAACCATTAGACTTGTTCTCCTGGTCCCAGAGGGCAGTGTCAGGAACTCGCCAGTGATGGGTGGGTGCTAGTCACATTTGAGTTTGGTGTCAAGAGAAAAAAGTGAGAGCTTCCCAGAAGTGGAATGGGCTGCAGAGCTCTGGGGCTAATGGGCTTCCCCTTGGAAGTCCTCCAGGTGCAGGGTCAAGGGGATTCTTGATTGTGTGTTGCTCCCTTTCAACTCTGAAATTCTATGACTAATCTCTAGTCGCTTTATAAACTCTTAGGAATGAGAACCCATAGCAGTGGTAGGGAGGTAGGGAAGCTTCCCATGGATACTTTCTCTGTGCTATAAGAAACTACTTAGGAAAAATTATCTAACAGGCCCATGTACTCCATTGCAGGTTGTTCAGGTTTTTTTCAATCATGTATGACTTTGTGACTCCATTTGGTTTTTTTGTTTGTTTTGTTTTTTGCCTTTTGGTGAGGCAATCAGGGTTAAGTGACTTCAGCTAGTAAGTGCCGAGTGTCTGCTGAGGCAGGATTTGAACTCAGGTCCTCCTGACTCCAAGGCTGGAGCTCTATCCACTGTGCCACCTAGTTATCCATTTGGTGTTTTCTTGGCAGAGATAACTGGAGCGATTTTCCACTTCCTTCTCCAGCTCATTTTACAGGTGAGGAAGCTGAGGCAAAGAGGATTAAGTGACTTGCCTGGGGTCATACAGCTAGTGTGTGAGCCTGGATTTGAATTCAGGAAGAGTCTTCCAGACTTCAGACCTGGCACTGTGTCCACTATGCCATCTAGCTGTCCCATTACAAATGATGTGGTTTATTGTGGCCACCTGTTCTTTGGGACTTCTTGGAGTAACGTAGGCCAAAATAAGCTGCCTTTTTACCTCGAGATTGTAGAGTCAGGAAAACCTAGTTTTGAGTGCCATCTCAGATGCTACCTGTATGGGATGTCACAAGCTCTCTGGGCTTTAGTTTCCTCTTTGGTAAATTGGGCATGATAGTATTACCTATCTTGTAGGGCTATATAGTGAAAATCAAATGAGATAATGTAGTGAAGCATTATGAGATCTTTAAAGCCCTTATATAAATGATCTGGTCTGGTTGTCCTTCAGGCTCAAAGAGGACCAGAATGACATCTCTGTGTTGGGGTCTATGTGTGACATGCCTGATTGTGGCTGAGCAAACCAATTCTAGCTCTGAAGGCTGAACCACAGGTCTGGCACAAATAGTCCACGTGAACATTTGGAAATGGAGATGTCTAAACTGTATGTCTTGCATTCCTTTTGAGTCACTGCAGTTCTGCTTTGCTTATAGAGGACAGCACCTTTGATGCAGGCATACCATGCTGGGCAGTCCTATGCCGGTGTCTCCCACGTCTCACAATCAATTCCAAAGGTCTTCAGAGAGACCTTGAGAGTTTCCTTGTATCTCTTCTGACCTCCGCGTGAGCACTTGCCTTATGTGAGTTCTTAAAATAGTCTTAGGCAAACATTCATTTGGCATTCAGATAGTAGCCAGCCCATCAGAGTTTCCCTATCGGCAGTAGAGTTTAAATGCTTGGCAGTTCAGCCTGAGAAAGGACCTCTGTATTTGGTACCTTATCTTGCCAGATGATCTTTAGAATCTTCCTAAGACAATTCAAATGGAAGCAATTCAGTTTCCTGGCAAGGTGCTGGTGTACCGTCCAGATTTTACAGGTGTACGACAATGAAGTATTCCTTCAGTTTGGTGGACAGCCTAATATCTCTTCTCCCACACTTTCCTTTGGAGCCTCCCAAACCCTGAGCAGCTCTGGCAACGCTTGCATTAACCTCATCATCTGTGGGAATATCCCTAGAAAGTATACTGCCACGGTAAGTGAACTTACAGCATACAACACTTCTCCATTTGCTATAACTGATTATTTCACATAGTGGTACAGTGCTGGCTGGTGGAGAAGCTCTGTTTTTCTTGGTGTTCGTTGTCAGGCCAAAATTAGCACAAGAGGCAGAGAATCCATCCATACTTGAAATACAAATAGCTATTGTTAACTGATTATTCAACCCCTCCAGGGGAGATGGGGAGAAGAAAAGCACTGGGAGGATAGCAGTACATAGTGGAAAGAAGACTGGCTGAGGAGTCAGGACCTAGGTTCAAATGCCAACTCTTGACTCGATATTACCGTTGTTAAACTTAAGTAAGTCATGATTTCCCTGGGCCTCAGTCTCCTCATCTATAAAATGGGAGAATTGAACATGCCATCCAAGTCCCTTCCAACTTCTATGATCCCATAAGAAAATCAATTGCTTGGCTCCTACAGATAAGATATATACTCACCTCTACTGGTAGGAAATTTTCTTGTGTTAGGTTGACTGTAGTTGGCAGGTTTTTTTCAATTTACTTTCAATAAATTGGCAAGCATTTAAGCACTTAATAGCACACTAGATACATGCTAGGGTCTAGGAAGATAAAGCCAAAAACTAAATATCTGCCTACAAGGAGTTTTCATTTTACTAAGGGGGAAACAACATGTCCATATACTGATTAATACAAAAGAAATGGTGATTTGGTTTGGGAGTTTGGGACCAGAACACCAAAGTGGGTAAGTTGGGAAAGACTGATGGAAGTAAAGGTGAGGAGAGAGCATTGCAGGCCTGGGAGGGTAGAAGGGGGGCCTGTGGAAAGGAGCCTATGTTGGTGCGTAAGGATGGGCTATTCTGTTCCCAGGCCCCTACAAGGCTTCCCACCCAGAGAAAAGTCAAGTGATTGGAAAGGGAAACCAAATCCCCAAGTCCTGAATTATCCTGCTCAGACTCAAGGACCCTTGATGGACGAAAACAGAAAACCGAAATCCAAGTGAAGCCTGAATGTTGGTTTAAAGCTGGGACAAATATGAATCACCTGTAACCCCAACTAGCAAATGCCTAATAGCCCTTAAAAACACTTAAATTAGAGGGGATAATATAAAACCTTGCATGCCTTTTTGACCCAGCAATACTTCTACTGAGTCCATACCCCAAAGAGATAAAAGGAAAAGAACCCGTATGTACAAAAATATAGCAGCTCTTTTTGTGGTGGCAAAGAATTGGAATCTGAGGGGAATGGCTGAACAAGTTGTGGTATATGATTGCAGTGGAATACAGTACTATTGTGCTTAATAAGAAATGACAAGCAGGATGCTTTCAGAAAAACCTAGAAAGACTTAGACAAACTGATGCGGAGTGAAGTGAGCAGAACCAGGAGAACATTGTATACAACACCAGCAACATTGTACGATGATCAACTATAAATGACTTAGCTATTCTCAGCAACACAATGATCCAAGACAATTCCAAAGGACTCATGATGAAAAATGGTACCCACCTCCAGAGAAAGAACTGATGGAGTCTGAATGCAGATTGAAGGATGGTATTTTTTACTTTATTTTGGGTTGGGTTGGTTTGGTTTGGTTTTTTTTGTTGTTGTTTTTTAGGGGGGTCCTGTCTTTCACAACATGACTAATGTGGAAATAAGTTTTGCAGGATTGCACATGTATAACATCAAATTGCCTACCATCTCAGGGAGAAGGGAGGAGAAAGGGAGAAAGAAATTTGGAGGTCAAAATGTTTTAAAAATGAATGCTAAAAATTATCTGTACATGTAATTGGGGGGGGAAATTAAAAAAAACACTTAAATTAAAAACACTTCCCAGAGTGCCTCCATTAGCACAGCTTGCCTTCCTTAGAAAACTTGCAGCTGTGTTCATTTTCTGTTTATCTGATAAACTTGGCCTGTATACCATGCTAAGAAACAAGTGTTCCCAGTAACTCCCTACGCACTCACCCTTTTGCCTCTAAGTGAACACATGTTCTTAGACAAGTCACTTTCCCCATCCTCAGTTCCAGTTTAGAGATACTCTTAATGGTTGAAAGCAAATGCACCTGCGCAGACGATGGCCTACTCCCACATGCTTCCCCTTCAGAGCAAGAGTTTGGAACTCACACCCAAATCAAGTCCTTGAATTCACTCTAGGGAGACCCTAAAGCCCAGGACAATCTCCAAATGGCTTCAATTCTACCCCCCCCCCCAATTGATGATGACTTGGTACTGGACCCAAACTGCCTTCGGCTTCTTAGGACCAGAGTGAATCCCTGTGACCCACCCCCAGCCTAAAGCTGTATCCTTAATCCGGACTTAACCAGATTCACCAGCATTTATGAAGTATCTGCTCTGTCAGACACTACTGAACACTAGTGATGCAGAGACAAAAATGAAAGTCATCCCTTCCTTCTCGGAGCTTACCGGGAAAGGGCCCTGGAAGGGTTGGGCAGAGACCTTTCCCCTATGACAAGGGTTATTAATCTGGGAGTCAATACACTTGGATGAATTATACCTTTATTTTCACTAAATTAAATTAAGCATTTCTTTCAATTTCTTTCAGACATTTAAAAACATTCTGAGAAAGAATCCCTAGACTTTGACAGACTGCTAAAAAGATCTGTGACCCAAAGAAGATTAAGAAACCTTCCTCTATGATATCACCGTTGGGTGGGCCTTACATATTATAAAGTATAGACCAGGGGTGGGGAAACTGCGGCTTTGAGGCCACAAAGGGCCACACTTGAGGACCTAGAGGCCCACGTGGCCTCAAAGCCAAAGCTGAAGGTTCCCCACCCCTGGTGGAGACTGAGCCATAGCCACCCCTGTGACCGGACAGAAGGCTGCTTGCCACCACCATAGTTGCACCCAGTGAGCACCTCAAATCTCCAGAGAGGGTCTCTATCATAGTCACATGTGGCCATTGCAATGCCTTTCTGAAGGAGCCATCAACTCCCCAATCAAGTCCACGCGTGGGCCAGCCCTTGTTTTTATAGCTGCTCTGATTGAGCTCTGACCAAGATAGCAGTTACTCTGCTTGGGTTACTAGCAACATGATTCTCTCAATAAAAAATGCAGAGATCCATGAGGTCATGTGCAGAGGCTTCAGTCTCTAATTTGTCTCTAGCAGGGCTTCCAGATTTTTTCTCTCCAGAGAGCAGGAGCCTCCAGATGCTTCTGTGAGTCATGGCCTCAGCCCAGCGTCTTCCCTTCCTCAAGGCTGCAGGTCCCAAAAGAGCAGGAAGCCTAACTAGACTTCAACCTGGCAGATTAGGGCACACAGAGTGGTCCCTAATCAATGCTAATTTTTAAGTCAGCAAATTTTACAGAGCCAACATCCAGAGTCACTGGAACCTCCAGATAAGTCTCTGGATAGGGAAATCTGGCCGCAGGGAGGGAAATACCGCATCTGACAAAAGTCACATCTCTAGTGATGGTGGCTGTCTCATTAGGGGTCTACAATGCCTAATACCCTCTACTAGGCACTGGAAACATTTTTTTATTATACCTGTGATTTCATCACAGTGGATAGAACTATGGACATTGAACTCAAGTCCAGCTTCAGACACTGTGTGACCTTGGACAAGTCACTTAACCTCTACCTTAGTTTCCTTGTCTGTAAAATGGAGATATTAATAACACCTACCTCCCAAAGCTGGGAGGACCAAATGAGATTTATAAAACTTAGTATAGTGCCTGGCACATGGTACTATATTTATTTTTATTATTATTATTATTATTATTCAATGTAGGGAGCTGCTTTATCAATACTGTCAGCACCTCTTCTGCAACTTCTGCTTAGAAAGTTGTCTGGTGCACTGAGAAATAACTTACCCAGGGTCACACAGCTAGGATTTGGCATAAGGTAGACTTGAACCTAGGTCTCCCATATTCCAAGGGTCAGCTCTCTATTCACTCTGTGATGCTGCCTGTGAGGCCTTGGAAATCAGAGATGGAAAATCACAATCCCTCCTTCAAGAAGCCTACAATCTAGCAGGGCAGATGCCACAGTATACAAGTAAGATGCAAGTTAAAATGGAACGGGACAAAGGAGTGATCCGCACCAAGAACTCCAGGACCACTTGCAGCAGGAGACGGCATACTATGGCCCCAGGAAACTTCAAGTCAAAGCTGGCCCTAGAGCTGCCCCTTTGAAGGATTCCCATGGGAGATGAGGGAGCGAGTGTGTTCCAAGCCTAGGGCATGCTGGCATCGATGCAAAGGAGTGCCCAGGGAAGTCGTGGGGAGCTAGCAGGAGGGCCAGGTCAGTTGGCATGTATGGGACATGAGGCTGGAAAGTGGGTTCCAGAGCCAAATTATAGAGTAGGGGGTCAAAGGCAAATAGAAACCAGGCCACTAAGCCACAAGGAAGGATCCCTGCAGGCCACATATTGACTTAGAAAACTATATAGTAACATTAGTAACATCATCTGTGTTCTATTGTATTTTTATTTCTTTTGTTAAATATTTCCCCAATATTGTATTTTTGAGGCAATGAGGTTAAGTGACTTGCCCAGGGTCACACAGCTACTAAGTGTCTGAGGCTGAATTAAAGTTCAGGTCCTCCTGTCTCCATGGCCTGTGCTCTATCCACTGGGCCACCTAGCTGCCCTCTAAGTACATTTTAATCTGGTTGAAGCTGAACTTGGGAATAATGTGGGCTGCACATGGCCTTTGGGCCATGTTTCACACCTCTATTATGGAGATCTTTAAACGCCAGGCTGAAAAGTTTGTTACTGCCAGATGACAGTGAGCCAGTGAAGAGTTTAGAGCAAGGGAGTTACCTAGTCAGCACTATGCATTAGGAAGATGGCTGTGGCAGGGGCACGCAGAAGGAAATGAAGAGGGGAAAGCCTGGGAAACCTTTTAGACTACTACAATAGATAGAATTAGGGCCCGAACTTGGCCCCAGCCAAATCATGGGATCAGAGCTGGAGAGCTGGAATGGACCACAGATGCTGCCTGGTCTAATCCCCTCATTTTACAGATGAGGAAACTGAGGTCCAGGGAGGTGAGCTATCTTGCCCAAGATCACACAGCTGTTGTTCACTTGTGTTCCACTCTTTATGACCCCATTTGGGGTTTTCTTGGCAAAGATACTGGAGTGGTTTGCCATTTCCTTCTCCAGCTCATTTCACAGATGAGGAAACTGAGGCAAACAGGGTGAAGTGACACTTGCCCAGGGTCACACAGCTAGTAAGTGTCTGAAGCTGGATTTGAATTCATGAAGATGTCTTCCTGACTCCAGGCCCAACATTCTATCCACTATGCCATCTAGCTGCTCTTACACAGGTAGTGAATACTAAAATAAAGATTTGAATCCAGGTCCTAAACACCCCATCTCTGGCCCATTCCCACAGGCCCTTTTGGTGCTTTGCCAACTAATCCCCTACCTGCAAGCCTCCTAACCCAGAGGTGTCCAATACACAGCCGCAGGCCCCAGGTGGCCACAGTACTCCCAGTGCTCTGGGAACCAGATTAAAAATAGGAAATATGTAACAAAGAAATAAAAACACAATAAAATGTAGATAATATTACATTGAAAAACTAAGCCAATATATGACCTGCAGGGGACCTCATCTCCCCATATGACTAAATGTAAACTAAGCCACCAGCTCATGAGATAAAATGTACCAAACCCTCAGAATCAAATAATACTAAAGTTAAAAGATATTTGGGGGCAGCTACGTGGCACAATGGATAGACTACAGGCCCTGGAGTCAGAAAGACTTGAGTTCAAATTCAGCCTCAGGCACTTAGGAGCTGTGTGACCATGGGCAAGTCACTTAACCCCAACTGTCTCCCCACACCCCCCCCAAAAAAAGACTTCAGAGATAATCTAGTCCAACCTTTTCAGAAGATTGGGGCAACATATTTACAATGGAAGGAATACTCTATTGGGATGTAGGTTTGAATCTGGGCTCTACCCATGTGACCTTGGGCAAATTACTCTGTGGGCCTCAGTTTCCTCCTCTGTAAAATAAGGGTGGGGGAGAAGGGTTGGACTAGATGACTTCCGAGGTCCTTGCAGCAATGAATCTATGACCCCATGATTCTGTAAAGTGACTTGCACAAGGTTACCTAGCTGGATAAGCAGACAAGCTTGAACCCAGGGCCTCTGACCCCCCAGTCCAGTGCTGTGTTTATTCTATCATGGTAAATGAAAGAAACAGACGCACTCAGTTTCCATTTTTATTCTCTCATCTTGAAGCAGCTTATGACCAGCATAGTTCTGTTTTAAATATACATATAAAGAAAGCATTTATGTCAAGAGTATTTTCCCTGGACATTTAAGAAGAAGGTACCCCTGACTCTCCCCAAGGACCTCTGCCGAGGTCAGGGTGGGGTTGCCCAGCCCGTCTGGGCTGTGATGAAGTCAGGTTTGCAAAAGAAAAGAGGAAGCAAAGCTGGTGTCCTTGAGCATGGCCGGCAGCCGAGGGCCCTCCTGCTCCTGGGGAAGGTGGGAAAACCACCTTCCTGTCAGGATGTGGCTCATTTGATCTTGAGATCTTTCAGGGCTGACTCCAAGCTCTGAAATGGGAAAAGAGAGATGGGGTTAGTCCTCACGTCGCTGGACATCCCTTGTCACACTGCCATTCTGGAGCTAGGAGTTGGGGAGGCGGGAAGGAGGAGCTGGCCCTGGGCTAGAGGGACACAGCTGGGTTGTACAATTGGATAGAGTGCTGAGCCTGGAATCAAGAAGACCCAAGTTCAAATCCAGCTTTAGACACTTATTAGCTGTGTGACCTTGGGCAAGTCACTTAATCTCTGCCTGCCTCAGTTTCCTCACCTTTAAAATGGAAATCATAATAGCACCTACCTCCCAGCATTGTACAAATGAGAAAATGTCTATAAAGTGCTTAGCACATAGTAGGTGCTATATAAAATGTGAATTAAAAAAAAAAAAGAAAGAAAAGAAACAGAGGGGGGGGAAAATCAACAGCATAAGATAGACCAAATTTCAACACTAAAGCTCCTTGTTTGACAAACGAGATTAGTGGTTATAGCAGCCCTAATACATAACCACACTCAGGCTTGGCCCCAACAAAGTCTACTTGGCATCCTCAGAACACCCTTTTCCTTCTTCTGACCTTGCCTAAACCCTTATTGGTTGTATGAGCCAAGACAAAAAATTTAAGGTCTGAGACTCAGTTTCTCCATCTGTAAAATGAGGATGGTAATAGCACACGCCTCACAGGATTATTCTGAGGAGCAAACAAGATAATGTACAAAAAATACTTCACAAACCTTAAAGCTCTATGTAAATGTCAGCTATTATTATGTGACCAGCACTGATTACTTGCTTGGGAACAATGCTTGAGGTACATACCGAAATCCTCCTTTCAGTGAGGGTTCTCAGAAGAGCTAAACTTAGTGAAAACAAAACAAAAAACCTAGATGACTCCTCCAAAACCCTGGGAGCCCCATCTGCTCAGCCCTAACCCAAGGGACATCTCTTTCAGTACACAGCTTCCCCACTCTTTCTAGTTAGCTCTCCCACCAGCCATCCAAACCAAGGAAGCTTTAAAGGGAAGAAACTCTGGGTTTCCCGGGTCTTGTGAAATGCACCCAAAACGACAACCAGAAATTCCAGCTGTAGCCCATTCTGGATGGAGTGTGTTTGGGGGGACTGCAGGGACTGAGAAATTCCAATCTGCCATTGGCCCGTGCCTAGTTGATCCTGGACTCACCTTCACATCCCAGATGCTCATGCCTCCATCCATCCCGGTGGTGCAGAACTGGGAGCATTTGGCTTTCCCCCCAGTGAGTACAGATATCTGACTGCAAAGGAGAATGAACAGATTTGAGGACAACTCTGCCCTGTCATGGAATTCTGCACACCGGCCCCAGAACAGGTGACCCTCCCTGAGCTCGAAGTTTCTTTTCCACAAGAAAGATCCATGCCACTCTCCCAGGCTCACAACCATGTTCTCTTCCTCCCTCCCTTGGTTCCCCGTCCCACCAAGCTGCCCCAGCCTCTGCTCAGCACTTGCCTTGAATTCACTGAACTTCCTGTTCTTCCTGTTAAGGGTCTGGTGGGACCCTCAGAGACTTCAGGGCAGGAACTCAACAGACACATCCTGGGAAAACACCCCT